CTAGCATTTATTACAAGATTTACAATAAATATTTCATAATGTTTATAATAAATGTTTATAATCTATGCAATTTAAGACCACAAAAATATTTACAAAATATTTAAAATAAATCTTATAAATATTTATAAATATTTTGGTAAATATTTTATAAATATTGTATGCTGCCTGGGGTTGTATGTTTTATTCTGAAGAATTCCTTTACGCCCGATGAAGAAACAAATAAATCGTAAATTTATTCAGTTTAATGAGTTTATTCAAATGGATAAGTACAACTATATGTATCTCAAGTCCGGTTTTAAAAATAGAGCAAATTTGAAACATTCCATAGCACTGAATGACAGACAGTCTAGAAGAAATAATTTAAAGCTATAGATGGATATACTGCAGAATGTTAAATATACATATATCATCTTATCGGATTGTAACTGCGTTCAGCAGAGAAAACAGCTTTGCAACTGTTATAAAATTCTTTAATATAATTGATTTATACATTTAGATCCAGCAAGAAGAACTAAGGGCAAAATTAATCATATGAAGAATTTTACATCAGTTGAAAAATTTTTTTTCTCTGCTAAATAAAGAAAATATTACAAGCTATTTTATCAATAAGGAACCAACATAGCAGTCAGCACTTTTTGTCGAAAATATCGTCGGAAGGTACGGCTACTCGAATGATAAAAAGACGAAAGGATCAATGGAACGGTGCGCATTCAAACGGAATCATATTACAACAACTCTGACCCACTTTGCAGTCGATTAAAACGAGCCAATAAATTGAAGGGAAACTAAGAAAAAAAGAAGAATAAAAAATGAAGAGACTCACAAGAGAAGGCTCCGGAGTGACCCTGACCGATTTCAATGAAACTTGACAGGATTGTAGAATTCCTCTGAATGAAAATCACCCCCATTTAGACGTAGACGTTCTATCGTTTCCGAAATATTTCTATATTAAAGTTGATAACGGCAGTTCCTTTTATGTTTATGAGAGTTTATGAGAACGTTTATACTCGAGTATTTGTAACGTAATGGATATAACAACTTTCTTTTTATTATTTTAACGCAATATTCATAATTAACTTTATATACTTGATACGAAATATTATTGTCTACTCGATATAAAACATTATAATTATCTATTTGATATAAGTATTATTAGAAACGTTTCAAAAATGATTACAAATGTAAAGAGAGCAGATTGTCAACGAAACATTGGAGAGTTCCCATCACTACGCTACAAATGCTCGAGTATGAACGTTCTAGTAAATCTCTAAAGGAAATGCAATTATCAATTTTAATATAAAAATATCTCAGAAATGGTAGATCATCTATGCCGAAATGGGGAATGGTTTTTTATTCAGGGGAAAACACTTTACAAGTTTCCTGCCAAGTTTCATTGAAATCGATGAGGATCATTCCAGAGTCTCCCTTTGTCAGCTAACGCTAATCATTCACGGAAAGTTTGATTCGCATTTCTAATGTGTCGAATATTCCGGAAGAGTGAAAGTATTTTCGCAGAATATTCATGACAATAAATATAATATAGAAATATTAATGAAATTCGGAATATTGTACGAATATTTTTTGTGTATATATATATATCACGAAAATCACTCATCCGCGAGTAATATACCCATCTTTACTAACAGAGAATCGCGGTGAAAAGACATTAACTAGTGAAGAAGAATTACATAGGAAAAAATAAAAAGACCACATTTCACTTGAAGTGAGTTCCCAAAATTGCACTCCAAGGTGAAAGTAAAAAAAATGTGTTTCTGACAGTATAATTTTATTTAAAAATTTATTCAAGGTCCTCTGGACCTAAAATTTTTAGGAAAATTATAATTTGGCGGAATATATACGGGATATTCTCCGAATATGTAACGCTGTACAAATAATGAAATATTTAGCAACTTAAATATTGCTTACATTCTCAAAATATTTCCGGAATATCCTTGGTATATTATTTGAAGATTATAGAAATATTTTATAAATATTTCAGAAATACTTAGCGTTAACTGAAAGAGAGAAAGAGAAAAAGAAAGAAACGGAGGAAAACATAGCTATCTCTTGATAAGGCATTCTGCTTTATTTACCTTCGCCAGCTCGCAATGCTCGACGCATCGCCGCTTTCGGGGTGGCTCATCTTCCTCCGAGTCGGAGGGCTGAGGGGTAGGCGGTAGAACGGGGTGAGAGCCTGCGTCCTCTTCATCTTTCTTGGATTTTGTCGACTGATTCGAAAGCTTTTCCCCTAACAGAGCCGCAACGCTGAACGATAACTGTAGTGGTTCCATCTGCGAAACAAAAGAAAGCATGAGAGCACAATTTCGCCAAAGGAATTTATCGTGTAAATGCCTGCTGAATAAAATTATCTAGTCCAAGACACATAAGCTATTAAAATAAAGTATACGAGTTAGGATTTTATTTTTGTAAAAAATATGTTTCCAATATATCAAGTACCAGTAACACTCAATTATAATATATACATATAAGGTAAATACAATTAAAGAGTAAGATAAATGAATACTTTTATTTTCCTAACCTTCTTTTAAAGATAATCAAGTTATTAAAAGTTATATACAAACGCATGTTCCTAATATATACATTATTTGTTGATAAATATTAATTTCTATATAAATATTTTCTTTATTCCTTTTGTTTTATTTCATTATGTCACAATTCTTTCGTTTTTGAGAGAGAATGTCGATAAGCATCAATCATCAAACAAAAAATAAAATTTAATTTTCAGATAACTTCACAGACTAAACTTTAATAAAATTTAAAGTTAATGTAGAATATTAAAAAATCAAATTTACATTAATAAACTTAATTTAGAATACAATAATATATAAAACTTATAAATTTCATAATTGTCCTGATATTGTAAATAAAAATTATTATTTTACTATAAATATAACAATTCACTCAATCACAAAATGACGACAAAACTCTCTAACACTGTAGAAACGAAGACGTTCGAGTTTCGCGGGCAACGGCGAACGATGTTATGGCGGTATATTTAATTCGCTGCCACTTACATGTTTCAACTGGGGCGAGGCCGGTGGGGAAAGAGGCGCCTGATTCGTATCCATATTCACGCAAAGAACGATGAACACGATTCGTGACTCGAGATAAGAAAAAAAATGGGAACCAGACACTGTTTCCCAAGTCAAAAAGCGAAATAGAAGAGAAGAAACGAGAAAGAACGGAGCAAGCGAGTGCGCGCGCGCGCGCGTGTGTACGGCGAGCCCTCGTCGAGATAAGACTGGAACGACGAGTGGGTACGCGCGAACCCACGGGTGTTTCGCGATGCAATGAGGCTCTCAGGTCGGCGCGCCTGGCTATGGGACGCGTCGATCCGCGCCCGTTGCGTGTGTAAGTGCGTGATCACGCGGCGCGCGCGGGCGCGACCAATCGCAACGAGGGGCTCGCCGGCGGCCGGCCAATCGGCGCCGCCCGGTCAGCCCGTGGCCGCGTGATCGCAGGCGTGCTGTTCACGTGCTCCCAGTCTGACTTGGTCCGACTCGGGCCGTGATCGTGACGTCAGCGCGCGTGGCGAACACGGTCGATACGTCATGGCGCGCCCCGCGAGCGTCATGCCTCTACACCTCCCCCCTTCCTTCCTTTCCTCTCTCCCCCACCGTTCTAATGTTGTGTACGTCTTTCACTCTGTCGGGTTCGCGATTCTCTTGTCTCTTGTCTCTCTCTCTCTCTCTCTCTCTCTCTCTCTTTCCATCTCTTCATTCGCATACCGTGAACGGCCTCGTCTCTTCGCTTCTGCGAATCTCTTCGTCCTTCACTACAAACTCACTTCTCTTTCTTTCTCCCTCTTTGTTTTGCTTTATCCCTTCCTCTAACTTTCTCGTTGTTTCTTATTTTATGCGAACGCAATGACCTGCGTCCTAAGCAATAAAAATTCGCACATTTTTCCTCGTACCATTATAGCTGATATTTTTTTGCAAAATTACGTAATTTTATTCGATTTATATTTTGTTTCTCAGTTGAAGAGATACAATTTCGAAGCATCGATATAATTAATCTTCTTATTTTTTTCTCTCTTTTATTTATCTTCTTTTTCGTTTCAATCTTATTCTACTAGAGATACCTGAGAAAACTAACCGAATTAAAATCAATCACATTTAATTTTCAAGAGAAAGTGAAAGAAAGCAGATTCCATAGATTATGTTCTAAGTTACACATATTATACTTGTCTAATAATTAAATGATTATCGTTGGAATTTCTTTCGTATGCACTTTTAATTCTTTCTTTAGAAAACATTGGATCTGATAATCTAGAAGTCTAGATAATTCAATGAAAATTATTCGATGTATAAGTATAAAAAACTATTGGAAATAAATAATATCGATTATATATATATTTACCCTCATTTTGTATATAATCTTTAGTCACCTTTTAACTAAAGCTTTTCTTTCTCACTTACGTGAGTAAATTATTAAAAAAAGAAAAAAATGTTCTGTATTTCTACATTACCGCGTTGTTTATAACATACCCTAATATGTAGCGACAAACCCGCATCCGGAGTAATCGGCAACGAGCGGAAGGAGCCCGCACGAGCCTTTTCGGATCGACAATCCATGGAAGCAGCCGATACCTTGAAGCGAACACTTTGTTCTATACTACTTGCATATGCCGTAAAACGTCAAAACAATGACGCATCGGAAAGTCAAAAGTAAAAATATACGTATTATATTTCGCATCTCTTGAATGCCATTGCAACGGAAACTTTATACGTTTTAAATGTTAATCGAATAGATAATAAATATATTAGAAAAAAATTTTGATATTCTTACTTCAATATATCTTTCGAGCCGAAAGCCGTATTGCGAAAGCCATGTTTCGACGTCAACGTTATTTATCAATTTACTATTGGCAAGATAAAAATGGAAATTTGTGTGAGATAGCGAAATTAGTAATCGAATAATGAAGAATGTATAATGTAACAACCGCGAGATAAATCGCTTCGTCAGTTGATGTTGTCTTCGTCCTTTTTTCGACGATAACAGATTCGATGAACGCATGTTGTTGATTACATCGGTTGCGTTCAACAATTGGTGGCGTGATTTTTCGTTACAATGAATCGATATGCAAAATACATATTTTTCCGAAAACTATTCGAGCAGAACAAAAAAAATCATGATGACATCAAAATAGCTTCAAAATGCATATTTTGATTAATCAAAAGGCATGTTTTGATAAATCATGATTCATTTCAATATCATTTTGAGTTAAAATTTCATAATTGTATACACCACACTCTAAATTTCTTGCAATAAAATCTCACTCCAAGAGAGTGAAAATGCAATCATCCTTGAAAAAAAGTGAAAATATTTCACTTATTGAAAAAAAGTGACACTCTTTGTAGAATGAAATCTCACCTTTTTTGGAGTGAGACTTCACTCCTTTGAAGTGAGAATTTACTCTAAAAAAGTGACAATAATCACTATCTTCCAAGAAGTAAAATATTTTAGTTGTGTTTTTACTTTCTTGGAATGAGATTTCACTTCAAAAAATTTCACTGTAAAAAATTTAGAGTTCATTGTAACAAAAATCTTTCCTCTATAATTTTTCTTATTTTTTTATCTAAGTGGAAAGTGCAAAAACACAATTAAAAAGAGTACTCAAAAAATTTGAAAAAAACCGAAATTCCTGGTTATTAGGAACTAACGAGGAATGCTTCTTGGCGACGATTGTGTTAAATATATCGGCCGCCCACTTCGCAGAATGGTTAATTCCATTCTCTCGTCCGGTCAGGCTTGTTTTCAATTCGTACGCAATGGATTCGGATCCGCGAATGCAATTTGCTTAATTTAGACTAGATTAGACAAATTACATTCAGAAGATATTGCTGAATGAAGCAATACTTTGCATGTCTATGTTAGTTACATGTGTGTGTGACATCAGTATAGTTACTTAATATAATAACTTTTCATTATTTCTAAAACTTTACAGAAACTTGTACACATATATGTTTCAGCAAAAATCACAATCGTCTGTTGTTTCGAATAAGTTTAGCAAACTGCTATACACTCTAAAAAATGTGAGTGTGGATTTAACACCATGCAATGTCCATATAATTTTCATCATGTTGGTATTAATATTAACATGGTTGTGGATTTAAAATCCCTAGTGTTAATATTAACATCAACACATTGAGAATTATATTGACATCTTATGGTATTAAATTCATATCATATTTTTTAGAGTGTGCAGACAATCGCCATACGCAACAAATAATGTCGAGTACACTTCGACTGATATTTTTATCGAAGTTAATCGCCTTTAAGGTGATGGTATTCGACAGGAAAATTGATACAGACTCACGCCTCATTCCAAATTAAATCATTCGTTTCTATTTGAAAAACCCCATGTATCTCGTTACTATTTATCATTATTACGTTTCTGCGCGACGACCACGAATCAGCCGTCGTGCTCGTGATCGCTGATCGCGTGGTGGAGGCCTCGACGGCTATCTGTGAGTTAAACAACTCGCTGGCGCGCAAAAGTGTCGTTGATCTTGTTGTGAAGGCGAATAATAAGGGTATCGAGCAGCGCAAGAACGCGATCGATCCTCATGATTGTCGAAACTTCTGCAAAATCCTACAATAAACTTACTTATTGAGATTTTCACAGGGCACGAAGATCGAGCCTTGATAAAGTTGATATGCGAAAGAATTCTATGTCACTATCATATTATTTGTTACAATAATACAGTTTTATTGTCGCAAGTAGATAAGGAAAGTGGATTAAACAAATAGATAGATAGCTTTATTTATTACACGATTTAGGATAAAATTCTCTCAAGCTAAGAACATTTATATCAATAAAAATATAAAAGAATATATAGAAAACAATAAAAGAAAAAGGTTACAAAATAAATGTATATAATTGAAAGAGTAGTTCCGGTATTTATAACGCCTATTAATAATTAAAAAAAAATAGGAGAAGTAATCGTAATTTGCATCTCTGTTATGCCTTTATATTAGTACTGTATTGCGATTTTAGTTTTTTTACTGTTAATATTAACGAAATTATTATATTGTGAAATGAATCGATTTGTCAACAATGTATTTTAATTTAATGGCTTGTATGCAAGACTGGGCATGTATTCGAAATACTTTTATTTAAAAAACATTTGTAAGATAATTATACATTTAATTATATTTGTAAAACAATTAAATTTTGTATTTTGTATCTAATTGGAGCATATAAAAGTATTTTGTATTTAATATTTTAAATACTAAGATTATAACAATCAATCTCATTATTTGAAAAAATACAAAAAACTTTCAACCTTTCAATTTTAAATACAAAGTATATAATACTATCATGTTTAAATACCAATCTAAATAAATAAATACTGCTCCGTTGAAATACAAAATACACTTGTATTGGCAGTACTACGTTTTAAATAAAAATATTTTAACTATCCAACTTGTATGTCTATTTGAGATATACAACATTTTTAGCATACAAGATTTATGCCCAAAGCACACAAAGTGAACAGATTGGATTCATTGCATTAAATGCAATAGATTATATGAATACAATACATTATTATATGAACGTGTCTGCCTTATATCATAACACTTAATTGTAATATATGCAAAAGATTAGAATTATCTATTATTCGTATATATATTTATCATTCTTATTCCCTAATAAAATTTTGCGAACATGTTTTATAAATTACTGTGTTGTTTTACGTCTTTATAAGAATTATTGATAAATTTTTTGTGAGTCGTGTATATCCTATTCCTATGGATATATCCCATTTTGCATATAAATTTATCACGTCTAAATTTAAAATCGCAAAAAATACTGAGGCTTCATTTCATAAAAGTTAAGTATAATAATGGAGTAAATTAAACACTACCCATATAAGATACTGACGCTTGGATTTAATTCTCAGTTAATTCAATTTCTAATCAATCCAGTTTGCGAAAAATCGTATAAATAAAGAGATAACTAATAAGTAGATAAAAAGTCGTGTTGCGCGAGTATGATATCGAGATTCGAAATGCAAGCGAAATAAAATGGCGCGCGAAAAATGAATGTTCCTTTTTCAATTTTCTGCAAATTATCGATGATTATTCGTGCATTTTGGACTGCTCAACATTTTTGTCGTACATATATTTTTGGATGCGTTCAATATACCTATGGTTTCTATTTTTTTTCTATTTTTGTTGCGATTATCGACGACGGACGGAAATTCAACTTTGAGCGCTGAAAATCCCATGCGTTTCATTGAGGCGTGCCCGTGCAGTCACGCGCGTTTCCGTTGACATG